CGAGAAGTTTAGAGACGATGTTGATTAAACTAATTCCTCTATGATTTTCACAAGAGGATCTATCACCTTTCTTGTAAATCGGTATGATCACCGACTCACACCATTCAGCTGGAACCTCCTCTCTTTCCCATATTGAGCCCAGGAGTTTTGTCAACTCCAAGACTAACACTGGGCCTCCATCCTTAAACGCTGATGGGAACAGCCTATCTGGGCCAGAGGCCTTATGCCTTTTGAGATAACTTATTTCCCGAGAAACCTCCATTTCAGATGGAGGACTAGCATCAACTGGGAGTATTTGTCCAGTCGAGGCGGAGAGTGAAAGATAAACTGTCGATGGGGGCCAGTTGAAGTGAGCCTTGAAATGTTCAGCCCAAAGGTTCAGACGGCGTTACTGATCGTGAATCAGTGTGCCATCGGATTCCTTAATTACCTCACTTACGCCTATTTTCCTAGGACCCGTATTCCTAATTAGATGGAAAAGGTTACGACTATTACCAATAGCCGCAGCTTTCTCAATCTCTTTACACTTTTCTACCTACCACTTCTCGCGGTCATTCCTCAGACTCTTGATGAGCTGGCGTTTAAGAAATTTGCGCGCTGTGTCGTATGTAGCATCCGGAGGAAGGGCTCTGCGGGCGTCCAGCTGGGCAACCGAGGACGACGATATCCATCGTTTGTGTTTTGAGCTTGTGGCAGGGTCCGACGTTGTTTTTATCGATATCTGCATAGCTTCCTTGATTTGCTTCCAGTGTTTATTTAGTCCTTCGGCTGGCGGTTGAACTGACAGGCGATCGGAGAGCTCCGCTTCGAAGGCCGATTTACATGAATCACTGACACTGTATCGCGGAGATCCGTTGTCGATGGCTTTTTTTCGGTTGTTTCCAGGTGTAAGGAGAAACTGGCTCGTAACAAGGCGTGGTCTGTGTCCACAGCTGTTGACCAGTAAGAGCAGAAGTCTTGAATTGATCCCCTCCCCTCCACCACAACCACCACCACCACCCTTTCACGAGTGGTCACAAAGTTCTCAATCTGTTCTTTTGTGGTTTCTCGTTTCATGCTGACTGATAATCAGCCGACCAGTAATGAGAAAGATGTTAACTAGCTGAGCTGGTCAGGCCGCAATGAACATTCCTCTATTTGGATTCTAATTTGTTCAGCAGTGAGTTTTGAAACACTCAACAGACTCAGTCAAACCATTTTTGAATAAACAGGTACCAAAGGATACTTAGACATATTTTATATTTTTCAAATTAGATTCATCACATTACCTCAGCAATGGTCTTCATATAAATCAATGAGTACTGCTCTATAAATTGAAATGTATATTCTTTATGATCAGCTTACTGAAATGAAACGTAGAAATGTCAAAAAAGATACCAAACTTGAACGATGGAGGTGCTCCATCTCACGACCTGTGAAACCAATCCGGTCTATAATTTCCCGAGCTTCTCGATATCCCGGTGATTATCAGGAAGGACAACCAATTAGTCAGGGGAAAATGTATCATTCCCTTAATGGTACCGGAAGTTTAGCTTGAATACGTTCGAGACTGTCTGATAGCGAAGAGCTTAGCAAGCAAAGGTGTAGCAGTGAACTCACTCACCGTTTAAAGTGAATTTGCTTCACCGGAGGTGGCAGTGACTTAAAAATAACTGAAAGATCTAGCTGAAGAAGCGGTCTCAGGATATCGACAATCCAGCGGAGTCTATGCTGCAAAGGTTGAAAGATGTACGATGCTCCAAGTAATCGTGCGAAAGCATACATGCGGAACAGTCATACCAAAGATGGTGACAACTCTCGAGCATTTTACACTGTCAGTTTGAAGCCACTACAAAACGACCGATCGAAACTGCAGTAAAGAGGCCGACAGATTGTTTGATTGACTGACCGACTGACTGACTGACTGATTGACTGACTTGTACCATGTTTTGACGACTCCAGTGCATAGGTCACGAGATTCAATCGATCCTGACGGACAATAGTCGATCATATTCAAGCTCACAATGAAAGCTTTCGTTTGTAATGTCTTATCCGCGTATGCTATTCTGTTGCTTTCCAACAGTCTATTGAACATTCGGCTTCTCGTGGAATCTGCTTGCTCATGTTGTTTACGCACAGCGGATCCGTGCAAATGTCCGAAAGTTCGTCTTGGACATTTCCCTTCCGAATGTGGTCATCCGATTTCGAACCTGACCCTGCTCACACGAAATCCGTATATTTATGTTCAAGCTCCGATCCGTATGTCCCCGGGGTTGTATACCGTGTTGTTACTGGACACCGAAATCTACAACCCCCCTATTCGATGGATAAAAGCACACTTGGTTATGGTTAGCTGGAATATACAATATGAGTGCCTGTTGAATCCCGACGGTTGCCAACTGAAAGAGTATTTACAGACCAAAACCGCGAATTGTTCGGACCAGTTTGATCGGTTTGATCCGCTGCGACTGGTTCTGCTCCGTCAGCGCCAGGAAATGAGTGGGAGTTTTTGGGAACAGTATGATACGTCACAGGTGAATCGGGTACTGGCATACGCTGATCTCTATCGAAGTCCAATACTGCAATTTCCTCCGGTACGCATGAGCGAGTATCAAGTGCACTATTGTCTCCATGATCCAATCTATCATGAATATTTGATCACCCGTGATTTCGAGTCGTACGAGACCGGTTGTCAGTTTGATCCATCAAGTCAATCCACTCTACAAAATCCGTTGGTAAACGAATTTCCCAGAATCTCGATCACTCAAATCCAAGTGAACGAGGAACTGAATGACTGTTATATCAAAAGAGATTGGATCCAACAGCCGAAACGGGCTCGGTCCGAGAACCGTCAACGTGTGCGTGACTGTCCCCTGGATTTGATTGCGTTCGTGCGCAAGATGAACGGATCTGTTGCGCGGGACCGGTTCATTCAACATATGCACAAACGAGCCGAGGAGTGGCTGTGGATGTCTAAATTGGAATATATGCATTTGATGGGCATTAAGCACTCCTCGGATGTCTATTCGAATCACGAAGTCGGATTTGATATACACGCCGTGTTTTGTGGCTCGTTTTTGAAACAGAAAAAGAAAACCACATTCTGTGTGATTCGAGCCGAGGCGTATAGACAAATTTTGATGGAACTAGGTGTACGTTGGTATTCGGAGAACTGAATACTTTTCGTTTTAAACACTATGTCAGGGGTATAATCACGTAAAGGATGCTATTATAAATAGAATTTTTATTAACAATAACAACAATATCAACGCGTCTTCTAAATCCTTTATTTCATGGCAGCCTATATATATTTATTGATTTGAACTGACTATCTTTCGGATGTCACCTTTACACACAATCTTCAGATCATCAATTCAACCACACACTCGGAAAGGCTAGAATCCAGTTTCGCTCTTATTATAGCTCATCAGTAGTGCACAACCACCGTCCCGTCTGCGATTTGAACTCTAGACCCATCGCAGGGAAGGCCTGTGCGTTACCGCTTTGCCAACCAGCTCTCATACCATGGCTGAAACAAACTGCCAATTCATTTTTGTTCAGGTGTCGTCTTCAGTGATAGTCAGTTAGTTCATTTGGCCTGAGGATTATGCGTGAAGGTGAAGTCCAAGGGATAGTAAGTTCAAATCGATCAACATCAATCATCCCACACCACTACTCACAAGTAACTATGAGTTAAATGCGAGTATATTTATACTTTTATTGTAAAACAGATAGGCTTCATTCCGTTAAACTTTCCGGAGTATGACATCGAACCGAGCGATTAATTCTATCAAACAGTTCGTTTGTTTTGCTCGGAACATCACTTAGCACAGCAGAATTTGTTCACCTTCTGCCAGTTTTGGACTGGCTAANGACGGCACCTACCCTGGAGCGGCTAGTTACAGTTTCAGGACATTGGCGATTAATCAAGTTTGAATGACACGTGCATGGCTTCTGAATACACGTCATTGGTAGATGGTGCCAGCCAATCCAAGACAGTGCAAACAGAAGCAAGATTATGCAAGCAGTATTGCAATCCCATTGGTGGAAGCCCAGATAGTCAATAATCTCCCTTTGTACATATTATTTAATCACCTTCATTTCTTCCAATAAACGAACTACTGCTTACTACCATTCCTGTGGCCTTTTCCTCGCGTCTCGTTTTCGTGGGACATTACGAATCCGTGCCATTGTGGTCCAGTGCTTCTGAGATCCAGTACATGATAGGTGGTTATTGATTCGGGTCCTGTGATTCATACTGTGTGGTCTGCATTCCGAATTCCGTGTGTATTACTACGATTACTACAATCATTACAGGTTGACTGCACAACAAACTCCTGTAAGGGTTAATTCGAAAATAAGATTTAAATTCGCGTACAAAAGAATTAACTGTAATCTTTGATGAGATTATGGTTTTAGCTTGCAGTAGAAACAAAGATGTTGGGCCTCTCAGGGAGTTTTGGTGCCAAAGAAACAATTTTGAAGTGCCTTTTTTCGGTCAGATTGCACGTAGAACTAAAGCAACTGAACAAATCTCAGAAAAGATTGAGCTCTAATGAGCATTGGTGATATTGACCATCAATTTTGTGTGCTCTCAATCGGCTGTCTACACATACTAAATAGTTTGGGATATCCTAAGAGGAATACCGTATATGGACATTTACATGATTACACGGGTCAAACGGAAATAAATCGATTGTTGAGTTATCATCAAAGTCATTTGGGTATGGGTGAACAAGAAGAAGGGATAATGATTACAAAGCGTAGAAACAGGAAGCGAAAAGGAAAACTATTAATCATGGATGAAAGAGAGGTGACAATGGCTAGGCCCCGTGGATGAGACCCTGAGATCATGCTAACCGGTGATTAAAGACACTAAATGAAACGGTTGAGTGTCACCAACACAATGATACTCGTGCTTCTGCCCACTACTCTTGAAACCACTATCACTACATTCTTGTTGACTCTGCACTCTTAACATTCCAATCTACATTCTGCTCTTTTATCCGAAAGACAGCAACCAAAATCGATGCGTGAAAATGCATGGTTAATGGTTACAAAAAAGTGAAACTGAAGCCGAACGTAATAACAAATAGATGAAACCAGAAATGAATTAGAGTGGATACAGAAAGGTACCGAAATAGAAATTGATCAATGAAATGAGACAAAAGTAGTCAAAAATGAAGCAGGAGAATGGCTAACAGCTGAAAACACTGAGTTATCCAGTGAGTTTGTCCGTCCGTCTGCGGATGCGTGCATGCTACTATCGGGAGAGAGAGAAACTGAGCGGGGGACTGTCGAGGTCAACTGCGACTGAGCAAACAAGACCACAAGAGTTCAACGGAATCGGCTCGTCGGGGAGATGTTCGTGGGAATACTGTTGATTGGCACTGTGAACACGTATTATCATGAGCTCAGATATCAGTTTGTTAATTCACGAAGGCTTTCTAAAAGAAGGCGAAGTGAACGTGATTTTAAAGCACAAAATTCACATATAAGAACAAGGTCGTTCAAAGGTTAATCCAAGTTTCTGTTTGTGGTTAAATGCTTTTGCTCAGGGACACAGGAGTTTACTTTGTCTTTCCACAGTTTACCCGCCAAAATTGTATCCCCCAAAGTAGATACAACGCGATTTTGGAGACAAAATATAAGGCTGAAATTTTTACGGGACAAACAGTCGATTTGGGTCTGTTTGTGATGACCCCAGTTACCTTCTACGAGCTTTTGCGAATTAAGGGGGGTGTTTGCAGCTTTTTTGGACTTTTAAATTCCAAATAGAGAGTCAAATCAAACAAACCTTACTTTGCACAACTGGGACCGGAACAGTGACATGACGGCCACAAACGGATCTCTCATTCCCCGGGACTGATATCCAGCCGCTGCTCTTGATCTGAGCCCAAGCAAATAGATAGAAAAATTGATTTGATAACTCAGTAATGTAACTTTAGCTTGTTCCGCTCCGCAGGAGGCTTTGGGGGATCGAGAAGCCTTTACCAATTCACGTCAGCTATTTTCAAAATATCCAAGTAAAGTAATTCTGAAAATTGCTTACGGTCAACTCACGCCCTGGACTGCAGTTCGAGAAGACAAAAATTGTTGTGGTTCTTTCAGACTTCTGTACACTAACGGGCTTTGGCATTGGTGATCCATTACACATACTTTTAGTTTTTATCCCGGATGTGACTGTCTCAGCTCTTCTTCTACTCTCTTCCCTGTCGTCAGAAGTCGAGTGAAAAGAACGTGACCAAAAGCGGGGCACAAAATAACAGGGTTGGAAATTTAATTGAGGAAATTCGTCGTGTCTGTGGCAATTGAAGCGTGAACTAAAAAGCTAAGAAGCACTGGGCAGCTGTTCCGACCTGGTTGGGTCTCATCAGTGCAGTGCGCGAATCTATCGACCCAACTGGGGATCGAACCCGAGACCTCATAGGCAGAACGTAAGCATCCTAGCCAGTTCAGCCACTGGGTAGCTGATTAGACCATTTTCGATTTTCCATTTACACGATATAGCACAAACAATCTTTGTGAGCTTGTTGCAGGCCACAGACCTCGCTCATCTCAGCACTAGCCTTCGAGGTTAGGACTCGGTTGGAAGCGCGAAGTATCAATACCTGATTGCGTGAACACTATCGCGACAACCGTCGAGCTGACCAAACCGACATACCACAAAACGGACTGGCCACAAGCAACTTTTATTGAAAGAGTTTACCCGGGTCAAACGAGGCATAGATAAAATCTTTTTCCCCCACAAAGTCCTGGAACACTGCTACACATACCGGCTGTTGACCAACGTTCGCACCGAGTCCATTTCGGCGGGGAAACACACAAAGAGAGAGAAAGAGTGGCCTTGGAAGGTATTGCAATCTCATGGAATGATTGGTGAAACTTCAAACCTTTCCAAATCCTATCAGACAAACTAGCTACTGGTAGATTCACATCGAAGGTGAGGAATCAAACACTGTGCACGGTGAATATCAATGTGAGAAAGGAATAGCCTCTACTGTTGGCATCCTTCAACTACACAATGGACTGGGTGATATGCCACACGTTTCTGTCACAGTTCAGCTCGGCTAGTATCTGTTTGTAGCTACTGTGAGCTACAGCAGCATACCTGGATTGCTATCTTTCACCGATCCAGCATTGGAGTGGCGTAGCCAAAGTTCAACAGAGATGAGCTTCTGGTAGCCAAACGGATCCATCAGCATCTGGCAGCCTACGGTCTGTTGTGCAAACAACACCGCAGATTCCGCAAGCGCAGATCTTACTTGGCAAATCTGCTATTGGCACGGAAGCACTGGTCGCAGAATCAGGCAATAGAGCACCGTACGGACATCATTCTTTTTGATTTCAACAAAGCCTTTGACAAAGTCCCACATGATCGTTTACTTTTAAAAATGAGGACCCTTGGTATTGGGGACTCCTTGACTCGTTGGATAGCAGATTTTCCGGGAAGGCGCACATTCTGTGTCCCAGTTTTTCAGGCAACATCAAGCTGATACGAGGCTTCTAGTGGCGTCACGTAAGGCTCAGTTCTAGGCTCTTTGCTCTTCCTGGACTACATCAACGACTTTCCGGCTTCCTCAAGATCCTAGTGCCTAATTAACGTCGGTGATCGCAAGCTGTGGTCGGCAGTAACTTCAGTTGACGACGTATGTACTCTACGGGAAGACTTGATATCTCTGGAACGCTGGTCTGCGAGATGGTCTCTGCGAATTAACACCTCAAAGTGTGCGCACATACAGGTGGGCCAAGCAGCGCGCACCGTGAGGTACACCTGATACGGCAACCCTCTTCGCTCATCCATTTGCGCAAACGGACATGGTGGTTCACCGTGGCCTCCAACCTAAAGACCAATAGTCACGTCGATAGAGTGTGAGCTTCGGTCTCGCGAATATTGGAAGCTATTCGGCGGTCTTCCATTGGACTTCCCCTGAGTGCATTCAAAGTTTGTACGCCTCCCATGTACTTCCGAGGTTGGGATACAGCCACCCAGCATCGTTTGCGTGCACAAAGGCAGAAACACAGAAAGTGGGACGAGTGCAGGGCAGTATCACACGACTGTGTCGGATTTGCTACGAAGGATGCTTGCAGGTCACAGGATTGTTTCCATTAGCTTACAGGTGGATGAGAATCGATTTAACCTACACCAGACGCATCATCCACGGAAAACTGGGCTGAGAACTGTAAGCGATGCTTCAGCTTCGAGAGCACAGTCGTACGAAGGGAAGTGGGGGGACATGCACTGATCCTAGCGAAACAGCACACGGGTAGGACTATCGTGGGTTTACCGCCTATCCCGACGAGCGATCAACATGCTACCGGAAGACGTGGCGGAGGATATAACTGATCAAATGTTAAAATGTCGGTTAGACGACTTTCTGAGGAGGTAGTGGCAAGACAGGTGCATTTAAGTCATGCCACCGAGCTGTGGAAAGGAGACTCATACGAGACTAGGCTCACTGTCTCTAGAACAAGAAGATGATGATAATAATGATGATGTCGACGATGGGGCAGTTGATCAAACCACCCATTAGGATACCGCTCAATTTGGTGAACCCCAGCACACACACAAACACGCAATCTGATTGGCTAATAGTGGAAAGCTAAACTCTGGGATATACAAGCCACCTCGACAGGGATTGATTAGCCAAAAGGAAACCAGTGATTAACTTGTGTTAATCATTTGCACGCAATCAATGTCTGACTGGACTCAACTGGATCCATAGTTTGTCTCGGGTCCGTCAGCTCACGATTAAATCACTTCAAAATGATCACATAGCAAGTATGAACAGTTTCAGGTGTCTGGATGACAAGTGTTACACGTAGCTAGCTCGTGCATGATCGATGTGATTTTCGGCTTACGGTCTCACAATAAATAGTTGTTTTGTTTTGAAGGAGGGAATTCGTCATCTATAGGGCCAATGAGGCGTGAACTGAAAGGCTAGGAAGCACTGGACAGCTGTTTCGACCTGTTTGGCTCTCATCAATGCAGTGCGCAAATCCATCGACCCAACTGGGTGTCCATTTTATCGAATCATACACCCTTAGGACGAGGTCAAACTTCCTCGAGTCGGTGACCATTGCCGCAACCAGGAGGTTGTGCGTATGCCACTAGAAAGCAGTGAGTAGGGCTTGGTCGTATGGGAGCATTTCGCGAGGTGCGAGGGAAGGGTGACCAGCCGCAACCCCAGACACCCACCTCCGACCAAACTGAGGCTTTCCGGAGCATGTAGGTCAATACTAAAAGATTGTGGGTTTTGGTTAATGGAATGTGGATGAAGGCTAAAAGACTGCCGGTTTTGACTTGATGGGAAAAGTGTCTAGTTGGCCCAATCCAGCTTTCGAACTGACCTATGTCTTCACACAACAGTACACGTATTGATTAAACTCGTCCAAAACCCTGACTCTCATCATACTTGTTCCTTCCAACGCGGAGTGTTTGCAGCCTCAAGCATCGGATTGAATATGATATTTCCCCAAATCAGACGCAATATATCTGCCTGCAGTGCTACACACATTTTCCCTTCGATTGATCGAAGGACATTTAGATGTATGCTTTCTCGATTTTGACTATGGTTTTTGGTGTACCAGCTGTAAGATAACAAAGCCTCCAAAAAAAACATGATAACAATTTATTTATAAAAGTGACTCATAAACATGATATGTCAAGTTTTACATACCTCCTTCCATTTTTGAGCAGTGGAGCAAGTCGGTTTTTGCATGGAGTCCACTAAGTCAACTGTAAAACAGCATTTGCCAATTTCCTCTAATACATGACGCACTCGGGCCACCGACGATCACCGTCGCGGTAGCTAATTTATCCCTATTTCCAACACGGAACAGTTTTCGATTACATTCAAATTCCAATTGCTGGACGGTAATCGAATAAATTTGACATTGTATTTGATCCATCCCAAAACTGCATAAATGTAAAAAGACAAGAGTGGGCAACGGTGATTTATCACACACACACACACACACACACACACACACACCCNCCTCCCATCCCCTTGCCCAGATGACGCATCACAACTGCTGGACCAAGAGCCACAGGTCAGTGATGTTGTTTACCAATCAGCAGCCGTGCGATCCGAACAGAAGCTGTGTAACTAGGAGAATACAATCAGGTGATTGATGAAAATCTGTCTAACCAATGACATTTCTTTTTACAAATTATTTTAGCTCAATCCAGTAGAATGAATTGCTAGTTCTGTGGCCTCCTTTCCTGCATGTCAGTGACGACAGAGAGAGAGCTCGCCATACGATTGTCCATACGATTCCTTGAACAACTGAACCTGCATGCCAGCCAATCCGAGCTCGAGGAATGGCTGGAGGGGGTAGGGTATTGGTCACAAGGGTGGCACACACAGCCAATCAGTGCTATTTCTCCCGGTGATCGGTTAGGATTTGTATTCCCTACTGAAAAACCTCGCGTTCACGAAAGCTCTATTGCGAAACTGCTTTTACACTGTCCGGAAGCAGCCGTTGCTCAATCGTTTAATGTCTTCCAAGTTCCAGGCACTGCAAAACGAAACAAATTCCATTGTTCGATACGTGCCATGAATATCTCTCATGTTGCGGTTTTGTCCTCCAGTTGAACAAGCTTTAGTTATGCTGATCGTTTGGAGGAGCAATCGTTTGATGTCACAAACGGAATTGCTAGAGGACAAAGAACTTGACGACGTTTGTGGAAGCACGCAAGATTTGTGTGCTACATGGTCTAATGCAAGCAAACTTGGGGGATTTAGTTATGACATTTCAACAACGTGACCAGAAACCAGTCCAACCAGTGTAAACAGGATATATGAGATAGGCCTCGTAGATACCACGATCTAATGTTTAGCCATGAGCCTTGTACTTGCATCACGCAAAGGTCCAGTGCAGAACAGGTGTACCATTAAGTTGAGTAGCAAAGAACTCGCCTATCAAACCGTCACTGACGTTTAAAAGTTTAATAAACGTAGTTTTACCTTCTCCGCGTTGATCACTGATCTGTATCTCAGGGCTAAGGGGGCCCTACCATATCACTGTTAGACTATCACGCGGGCGTAATTAGGGGACTGTCGACAAGTAAGGCATACCAGAACAGATCCTGGCAAGTTGGAATTCGCATGAACTGCGCAAGAAAATGTCCAGAATTTTACTCCCATTAGAGCTCGCCGATGGTGCCTACCCACTGGCTACTTCGGGACATACTAACGTTGAATTACTCCCGTGGAATGGGATTGTGTGCCAACCAGCGCACAACGTTCGTGAGTGACTTTTGGAAACGCTGGTAGACTTGATAACCACAACAGAATCCAAACCTCATCTTTTTGTTCACAAATAACGTGACTTGTGATCCCCCCTCGCTTTTTGAAACAGCAATATCATTGTGTCTAATTTACCATTTCCCCGCTTCATGGAACAGGAAAAGCAACAGAACAATCGATTGAACAAGTCGTTAATTGAAATTGACGAACACGGTCCCTTTGGTTCAAGAGAGACGAACGAGGCCGAGGACGATCCACCAATGACCGGAGCATTCGTACAAACGGATGGAGTGAGTTAGAACTGTAGACAAAATTCAGAGGTTCTGATCACAGTTTTTGGGCAAAAATATTAAAAAAATAGACCGAACATCCTTTCAGTAGTCAACTAGGGAGTACGTTTATTGTAGTAGGCACACATATGCCCAGTCCGTAGGCTGATGAGCCACCCGGAGTGGACAACAAGCGGGATCGTAGAAAGGCAGACCAACAATTGGTTCAAGCGTCACACGACCTACGAAGGCGATCGTGCAGGCATTCAAACAGTCAGCGAATCGATCCGCGCGGACAGTTCATTACAAACATCTGATTGGCTGGAGCCGATCGATACTGCAGCGGTATGGCGTGAGTGCGTACGTCTGTGTTAGCAGACAGTATCTGTCAATCAATCGATCAATCGATCCGGCCACGGGCATGCATGATAAACGAATCAATTGTCTGCCTCAAATGACATGTAATTCCACCTTTCGTGTCGTTTGTTGTCGGGTAAAACAGCAACACAGTAGCTATTCAAGATGACAAACTTATCATTTTTATAAATAAGAACAAGACCTCATGGAATATCAAAAAGTTAATGAAACCCCAGCCCCAACCATGACATTTGTTTTACCGAAAGCAAAAAATGGAAGGAGGGAACTTCTAATTAAAAAATGACCATTTAAAATATTTATTTCCATTTCTAGAGCTCAAAAAAAACGATAGTGTACAGATTGAAAATAAATCTAGCCCAGCTGGTTCTATAAAGATTCTTGTCACGAAGCGCTCAAAGGAGATAGAGGCCCAGTTCGAGTCTGACCAAAACTCGGACAGTATAGTTTCTAGTTCTGAGATTTGTTCCAGTTTTTGCTTGTACGGGGACACCAACCGCTGAACAGAAAACTGCAGGTATAAAGTCGCGAATGCTGTAAGTTTACTGTTTGATGCGAATTTGCGGCTTTAGGTGCAATAAAATAGGCCAGTTCTTTGTCCAAATTATCGATACGGACAAGTGCATTTGACTAAAACTCCATGAGGAGGTAGTAGACACAATCTCATGTACAAAGATAAAGAGCATTGAAAAAGAAAACCACACTCAACGTGGTCTGACGGGTTTTGTGAATGAATGAGTGAATGGTTACCGAGTTGATTTGAGGCCACGATACACAATACGCGAAATCAGACTGATTAGTCCCAGTCGGCAGCAATCGATACACCAAATCAGTCAATATACCTGCACGATTTGATTTATCGGCTGGCGGTTATATCGTATTCGGGTGTGTCTAGCGGACTTCACCTGGAAGTCTTTGAGCAAACATGCTCCCGGATAGTGCAGCATAGGGGAAAAAATCTCATAAAGACAACGCCAACTGGATGGGCAAGTCGGCAGTGTGCATCTTTCCAAAATCATAATCGAGAACAAGGAAATGCTGTGACGCGTGTGCGCGTGCGTTGTTTTGTGAGCGATCAAGAAGCATGCCCCAGCTGGTTGTTCGAGTAATACGAAGGAGCTGTTCGATACATTTCGTGTAGACTATTCAGCATTCAAAAATCATCGATGGAGGGAGAATTTACGCACCAGTTTTCCCAGTAGTTAGCAATCTTCGGAGAGAAAAGCTCCACCACTAGTACAGTTAGGAAAAAAGGTGTAGCGGCGGTGAAAGACCAACGATAAATAAGTCGACACCTGTGAATTTGTGTGAGAATACCAGGCAACATGATCAATTAATTATTGTGGCCACTTGCAAAAACTGACTATGGTGTGGTATCGAGGTAAACAATTCAACAGGTGCTCATCGCTATCTGGTCCGCAGACAAGGACAAAGCAGTCATCTACTACGCGGCCCTCATCACATACAATTTCACCGCAAACAGCAGGACGTTTTCGAACCATAAGGAAGTGGAGCATACGGTGCAGGACCGATAAATGTAGGGCAAGATGTGACCTGGCATAGCCTAGAACGAAGGGGTTTGAATTTAATTTGTACCTAACTCAACGCTACTTGTAAGTAGTGTTGTGGAATAGAAGAAGTTAGTTTGGACTGACCAGGCTATGGAACTTCGTTCTCCTGCGTAATCTTCAGTTCATTCAGTCAACTGTGGACATTGGAGGCACCGGACTGGAGTTTTGCTCTCACTAGAGGGCTCGGAAAACAACATAAGAACAAATTCAAATTGACAATTCTGGTCAAACTAGGTGTGAGTGAGTTGCCATAGTGATAACATACACACCCTTTGCGCAATCGGGAACGGGTCGGTAGATTTGCGCTACTAATGAGCACTAACAGAGTTTGGTTCATCCTGTTTGTATGAGTGAACGGAGAAGGATCTGGGACTAGTCATTCGCACAGACTTGAGTTGCTCCACAAACTGTTCCACGGCGTCATCCATGGCGGTAAAACAGGTTGGACTGCTCAAACGTGTTTTTGGATCGTTTGAACCGGCTTTGTTTCTACGTCTGTTAATCACATCCATCCATGCACCGAGTAATCGATTCAGGCCTGAAACCCATGGCTGAAGCGCAGTCGGAAGGCACTCGAACATCCGCAGAGAATGGCTACCAAGATGGTCAAAGGTCTACATTCCAAGACTTACTATTTTACTCACGTAGACTAATTGTGATCTTGTGAATAGTGTTCCGAACCAAAGTGTAAACACCCTATGGGATTTGATGAGCGAAGTCTTTGCATTTTTTTCCCACAATAAAAAATTGAATTTGAATTTGTATGAACTGGGGATTGAGTGAATTTTAATCAAGAGTCTGACAAAAATAGAAATACTGACCCCGGTTGGGGTTTTAACAAAACCAAAGAAGGCAATAATTATCATTATTGGTCGTAACCCTTAAAATAAAAGAAGTACTCACAGGCTTCCTAAATTCTCTAAGCTCTCAATTTGTTGGTTTACAAAAGCAACGTCAAACAGAACGTCAGTCAACGCCGTTTGTTCCCCTATAGGAAACATTAACCAAGCGAGATAGATTGAGTCAACCCAGGTAGTACTGAAGACGAACTAGTTATTTCACTTTTGTTTTATCGACCAGTCAGTTGGAAGTGTTCTCTCAAACTGAATAAATAGTTCCTGTGAAAGGGTGGATGAGTTCAGGATGTTTGGGTTAACTGTGATCACCTGCTTGGTCAATCAGTAGACTTGCATTTTACTTGTGAGTTCCCGGGTTTGATCCTCACTTGGATTGCCAAATTTGCGCTAGCAACTGAGACATACCAGGATGGAAACAGGTGCACATTGAGTGTAGCTCCTTTCGTGAACTATGAATTTAATCATGTACGTCTTAACTAATCTATTCAGATCTATATTGCGCCCCAAAACTGGTCAGAATAAAAGGTTTTGATACTGNCCAATACCGCCACTACCACTTCTAATACTATTATTATAAATCCACAAAGTAGCACCGGGACGAGGAGGGCGATTAAAAACGGATGATGGTGTGGGTATCGGGGAACTGACATACATACAACAAAATGTCTCATTTGGAATAAGTTGTCAGAATCCCCCCCATCACAAAGGATAGTTATGGAAATTGTCTTTCCGTAGATGCGCATTTCTCGTAGTTGTGAACACAGTAATTCGCTCTAACAGGTCTTGTTCATTTTTGACCGTTGAGAGGAGCAACCATTTAGGTTCTTTTGTTCAATCCGCATATACTGCTCAAAACATATTTCCCATTAGTCGTACTAGTACGAACCAGCCCAAAGTCAGATACTCTTTTTACCATGTGTTGTCACTCCTGATTCGGTTGACTCCGATTCTCCCTACCGACACTCATTTTTGTTAACGTCTTGTATCCAACCACAGACTCCGATGAAAACTAGATCGCGAATGGACGGCCAAGCAACCACGACCGCGACCACCGCCACCAGTGGGTTTCGATCCGGTTTTAGCATATTTGATCGGTATACTGACTTCGGTGGGATCGCTTCGTCTCGAAGTACTCGCCGGACAGAGGTGAGTGTCTGTGCGGTCGCTTTGACTACCCACAATTGAAATTATTGTACAAAAATTGACATTCAGGGATAGCCTGATGATGTATATGGGAGATGAAATCATTGATACTTTCGTTGTAGTTTAAAAAAATGATTTCGCGCTGTGCACACATTTGGTTCCAAGCCCCAGAGCTTTTCAAAATATGCAACGGCTTCGGCAATCGAAAGTTTCTCCATAAGGTTCAATGCGTCAAAATGGCGTTTGCCTTCCGCTCCCAAATACTGGCGGAAAAACGTAATCCAGTGAATTTCACTGAGGGAAATTTTCGAATGTAGCACAGGGAAAAGTGTCATTTGATGTTGAATTGTCGTTTTCCAACGAAGTCAATTCTGTAGAAAGGGGTTCTCTGTGGCACTGGGCCAAAAAGGATAAACTCCCGCGAAGTATTTCATTAGTCCCGTCCCCATTTGCTACGTCGGGGATTTCAGACTGTGTAGTCTTGGACCCGTAGCCCGCTAGCAAAGTAGAACAACCGTACGCCGGATAGAATAAGTATATTATGACTCATTCACAATCAATCGTGTCCAGTGTATGTTAAACAAGGCAGAAATGGAACTAACAGCCAATCAGGATCGGGCCCATGTTGGCCGGAAGTATCGGTATAGGCACGTGTGTGAGGTCGATCGATCTGAGTGGATAACAATCGATAACGTCTGTAGAACGTGCAAATTAACGATGCGCAGGTTGGCAAAACGTACGTATTTAAACCGCAGGCACGCATGCAAGAAGGACTATATCAGATAGTAATTGATTGAAGCGAATGAGAGCATTTATTTTAAAATTCAATTTCTTTTCATAATACGATCTTTGTACACATCAACCAGACAGATTTGCACCTGAAAGATGCTGAGCCAGCGATGGAAATTTAAATAGTTTACTGGCAGTAATTCAGTGCTTCTCACTGTTAATAGGGTTGAGTTTTGTTCCACCAGGAAATCTCTTTTCAGGAGTTGTTTTCACCGAATACAAAGAGAACCGATCGATTAATTTCAGGCATTCATATTGTGATTTTGACCGAGCCAGGAAACTGACCTTGAAGAATAATTTTCATCAAATACGGTGAACCATTCACTCGGAAAGCATCAGTTGTATTCGGTATCATACCAAATTCATATGATTACACATTACTGATCAAGACACTCTCATTAAGCAAGTCTAATATTTGTCTACCTCATCACGTTTTATTTTCATTTGCGGAGATAACACGTGACGTAAGAACAGGTTATAATGGAATGCCCAATCAATCGGGATCTTCGATCTTGGTTCACGCTGGGATTGAAAAGGATTGTGCAACGGTTGGGTTGAACAGGCGGCTGGACAGTGCTACACACAAACACTAGTGGAACGAATGGTGGTCGTTTTTGAGTAGGGAAAAATGTTCCAAAAAGGTTTGGATGTGTTGTTAGACAAATTTAGTATGCGATTCTACTCCTCTTCATCACCCTTATAATATGGCACCATTCGTCCATAACATGAGATAAAACTCAATCAGATTTGTTCTGTACGGTGATTATGCTGCCTCGGATAATGATGATGATGATGATGACGATGCAGGACTGAAACACCTTTGGCCCAGACGTAACGTTTCACTGAAGTTGAAGGGTCGTGTGTAATAGGCTAGCGATCGGTCAGTTCTGCTTTATGGTTGTGAGATCTTGAATTTGCGAGTAGAAGATATCCGTCCACTAGAGGTCTTTGATTATAAGTGTTTATGCAGTTTAGCCCATGTTGGATGGAGCGAACGGGCTAGTAACGTGGAGGTAAGCCGTCGTGTGTTTGGGAGTCTATCAGGTAGCACACAGAAATCGAATCAGTAGACTTCGGTGGCTAGAGCCCGTGTTGCGTATGCTCAGCCATCGTCTGTCTCACCGCGCTTTATTCGCTGTAGCCGTCCCGGGCTGGAGGAAACCACGTGGAGGTCAACAGATGATATGGAAGCGAGGCATGAAGAAATGCACAGAGCCATTAGGTAGAGTAGGTGACTCTCACGCTCCAGGTTGGGGTCCGCAAGAGGGTTATCGACTGCAATACTGGACAATTTTCAATTAATATAAATCAGCATCATCTCTCGTATATTTAAATGTTTTGTTTCAGCAGAATGGAGAAGATGACGATGATGATGATGGATCGGAGATCGAATTGGATTTCTCCTCGACCAAAGAACCCGGTTCTACTGTACTAGTTCATTCAACCAAAAATTTGCTACAACAACTGTATCAGCCAATGGATCATATAGAACCACGTCCGTTCCCAGACAGACAACTGTTTGTCTACGTGGTTGCAGACCCCACAGGTAACCATTTGACCCCACCCTGTTGTATACTGATGATTCACATAAATGTTACTATGATCAATAATAATATTTATACTAGTCCGGCGGCTCGGGTTACAGTAAAATCGACATTGGTTCTTGTTTAGGAAATGACATCATGCATTTGGGAAGTTTTGTGCCAGTTGCAAACATGGTCTTGTTCATATCCTATTCGCTAGATTAGAACCCGTCGAATATGCACTGACGACATGATGTCGAACGAGATCAGTTTTTTACGCAACACGGTAACAAGAAATAGTTATCCCAAGGAGTTTGTTGACAAACACAGTAGATTGAAGATTGAAAAGCCCGTTATTGCTACGGCGTCTATATATTGGAGATCACGATTGGTTGTCTATTCTTGGGTTGATGGTAAAACTAATCTAATCCATCAACGGTTACGGTCGGTTGTCAACCGGAATTATTAGGCATCCAAACCCAGAATTGTGCACAAGACAAGGAGTATACCGGTCCTCCTGGTTAAATAACGCCCACCTCTGTACGCTAACTCAAACGTAATCTATCAATTCCAATATGGATGCGGACAGTTACACAGTCAGAACAGGAAAGCAATTACGTAACTGAGTTTTAGAACACATTCCAAACTGGGTTCAACGCAAGGTTGCCATGACAAAGTCCACACAACCGGTAACTGGTTAAGACCGTGGTTAAAAAAATTCAAGCCCTTGTTGGTGATGCAACACCTCGTGGATGGCGAGCAAACATTTCACGTGATTTTTACTAATGATAACACCAGCTTGCTCAAGATCGTCGAGGCGATTGAAATCAACCGATGGAAACCAATTCTGTCAACAAAAAGGACTTGTTCATCACCTTGGCTTTGTCTTGGTGACTCTCCCCCTCCCCCCGATTTAAAAGTGTTCATTTTGTAATTCATTCCCAAACCATATGTATAAATATTGTATTTGTCTGCAGTAGGTACCGGTTGAGATGCAGTAAAATAGTCCAGGGCATAAATCGTCCAATGTTGCTGTACTGGTGGCTTCTCTTTTCAACTTGATATCCTGGCGTGTGTGCGTACCTGTGTGTCTCGTACCCCATTTATGTCCCATTCAATTCAGATATGCGTTTGGAGTTGGCCACATTACGTCTGAGCGTATGGCCGGAACTGCAAAGATCATGCGATTCCCGGGGATTCAGTCTGCAAGTGGTAGATCGATCAGTTGAGACCGATTTCAATCCGCCAATCGATCCGGAATTGGAAATCAGGCAACAAACAAACGAATTAGAAAATTATTTGGCACATCGATCGTACGCGAACGAATTTCTGGACTGTTTGGTGAGTGACTGGAGTCGATTTTTAAACACCTTTTTCGAGGGGGCACTATAATTGGTCCCGTTCTGTCTTCCATTCATTTAGGCGAAGTAACCAAATCAAAATCCGTCTTGAAACACATCACGTGGATGTATTTTTCTCCTTCAAAGTGCCCCATCCCATGCAGTTTCCTGGTGCTCCTTTGAATCTTTATTAAACAACAATGATAATCTTTTTGTTGATATAATCAATTTCATCTTTGACATCTGTTGTCCGTTGGAAACCCTATTTCTCTCTGATGGTCGTGTTGCCTCTCCGAAACTCAAAACATTAAGGAGACAAAAGAAACATTTCTACAAATCCCGGAATTCATCACTGGTCAACTACATTTCTACCCTGATAAAAAAAAGAAATTAAAATTATCGACTAATCCGACGGGAATCAACACCTAGGCAGCCAAAACAGAAGACATCTATGTAAAGGAATACGGATCCTATGTGGAGAAAAATGCAGACCTAATAAATGTGCTGTGGGTGTTGAGAGTATAAATCGTACATTGGTTCATCCGAGCAGCGATCACCCTGTTTCATGGATTCCGGAAGACTGCTAATTTAACCCCAAATATTTTCAACTCCTCCGTACAATTAATTCATCTACTGGTATTGGTCCCGATGGTCCATCTTTGAAAGCATGTTGCCTTTGCTCTAACAGATGGTTTTACTGCTATCCTCAACAAATCACTTGGCACGTATTCCATTCCTGATTGCTGGAAACCCGTCACGATCATTCCCATTCAAAAACCGTGCAGATCCAGCACCCTGTCCAAACGTTTCCGTCCCATTGCTCTAGCGTC